ATGGATTGGAAGAATTAGTATTGTTAAAGTGTCCACAGTACCCAATGAAATCTATAGATTCAATGCGATCTCTATCAAAATTCTAATGCCATTTTCCCAGAAATAAGAAAACAACCCTAAAATTCATATGAAACCCCAAAAGACCCCCAAATAGCCAAAGCAATCTTGAGTACACATTTGGAGTCATTACAATTTCTGATTTTAAATTATATTACAAATAAATAGTAATCAAAACAGTAGGGTGCTGACATAAAAATAGACACATAGACCAATGAAAGAGAATAGAGATCCCATATATAAACTCACACATATACAGTCAACTAATCTTTGGCAAAGGCGCCAAGAATACAAAATGGGAAAAGGATAGTCTCATCAATAACTGGTGTTGGGAAAACTGAATATCCACATGGAAAATAATGAAATTGGACCTTTATTTTACGCCATATACAAAAATCAACTCAAAATGGATTAAAGACTTAAAGATCTGAAACTGTAAAATTCCTAGAAGAAATCACAGGTGAAAAGTTCCTTCACATTGGTCTTAGCAATGACTTTCTGGATATGACATCAAAAGCTCAGGCAACTAAAGGAAAAATAAGCAAATGAGAGTACATCAAACTGAAAGTTTTCAGTACGGCAAAGGAAACAATCAACAAAATGAAAAGGCCACCTATAGAATGGGAGAAAATATTTGCAAACCATATATCCAATAGGGGGCTAGTATCCAAAATATATTAGGAACTCATATAAATCAGTAGGTAAAAACAATAATACTAACATAATTTAAAAATGGACAAAGGAGCTAGACATACAAATAAGACATTCAAATAAGACATACAAATTTCTAACTGGTGCTCAACATCACTACTCATCAGGGGAATGCAAATTAAACCACAATGATATATCACTTCACACTCGTTACGATGACTATTATCAAAATGTCAAAAGATGACAAGTGCTGAGGATGTGGAGAAAAGGGAACCCTTGTACACTGTTGATGGGAATGTAAATTAGTGCAACCATTATGGAAAACAATATGAAAGTTCCTCAAAAAGTAGAAATACCATATGATCCAACTAACTCACTACTGGGGATATATCCAAAGGAAATGAAATCAGTATGTCAGATATCTGCACTCTCATGCTCACTAAAGCATAATTCACAATAGCCAAGATATGGAAATGGCCTAAGTGTACGTCAATGGATGAATGGATGCAGAAAATATGAGATATATATGTCACATATTTATATCACTATATACATACACACACACTTCACACTTTCTATATATGTATTAATATATATTATACATATATACACATACACACATATACACACAATAGAATATTATTCAGCCTTAAAAAGGAAGTAAATCCTGCCGTTTGTGACAACATGGATGAATTTGGAGGACGTGATATTAAGCGAAATAAGCCAGACACAGAAAGGCAAACACTGATATGTGGAATCTAAAAAGGTTGAACTCACAGAAACAGAAAATAAAATGGTGATTTTCAGGGGATGGGTGGGAGGATATTGGTCAAAGGGTATAAACTCTCAGTTCTAAGATAAATAAGGTCTAGTTAATAATAATGTATACTTGAAATTTTCTAAGATGGCAGATGGTAAGTGTTCTCATCTCAAAAAAAAGTTAAGGATTTGAGGTAATGGACAGTTTAATTAGCTTGATTAGGGGAATCATTTGATATACATATATCAAACATCACATTGTACACTTTAAATATACACAATGTTTATTTGCTAATTGTACCTCAATAAAGGTAGAAATAAAATATTTTATGATGACTTTCCTTTTAATGTAAATATTTGCAAGTATACATTTTCAATAAAATTTTGCATATGAACTCTTATGACAATAAAAATAAATAAAATCAATAAAATCCAAAGTTAATGCTATTAACAATAGTAATGATAATAACATTTATACAGAGCCAGGCACTGTTCCAAGTGTCTTACAAACATTAACTAATTTAAGTCTTATAGCATTTGACTGAGGTAGTTTTAATTATTATCTCCATTTTATAGATGAAAAAATTTGAGACAAAGAGAGGTAACTATATTTCCCAAGTTTATACATTGAGCAAAGAGCAGAGGTCAGGATTTGACCCAAACATTCTGATTTTACACCCCAGGTTCTAAACCACCAACACTACACTGCCTCTTTCTAGTAATATAACCAGTATCTATATCCTTTAGATCATAATAAGAACTTTAGTATGCATTCATTGATTACCCTTCTCCCCCCTTCATATTTAGATTATTTGATAGTTAATGTTTTACTGTTATTCTCCTTTTCTTTTCTAACATATTATTTGTTAACTATTCTTTGAACTCAGTTATAACTTTCACAGGTCTTTTTTGCTAGATTCTCTTTCTTGCATCCCACATCATCATTTTTTATTTGTTATTTATTTTGCTGAATTACTACATTAATAAATTCAAAAGTGGCTGTAGATTGTAAGCTTTTTGAGTCCAAGTATGCCTGAAAATACTTTATTTTACCTGTCTACATGAAAGCTTGCTTAGCTATCAATAGGATTTAAGATTCAAAATAATTTTCATTTTCACTATCTCATTATCTTCTAACATCCAGTATTATTGATGAGAAGCCTGATGTGAATCTTATTCTTAATTTGTATATATTCTCTGATAGCATTTAGGATTTTTTTTTCTTTATCTTTGGGATTCTGAAATTTCGCCATTTTTTTCTTCATCTTTGGGGTGTCTTTTCCATTCATTCTCTTTGGCACTTGGTAATCCCTTGTATCTAAAGTGTCATGTCTTACTTTGGCACTGGGAAATTTTCATTTGTTATTTCTTTAATTATTTTTCCCTCCATCATTTCTCTCATCTCTTTCTAAAAATCTTATTGGAAACAGTTCCCAAATTAATTACCTGATAGTTATCCTGGATCCCCTCCAACTACTTGTATCAATTGCTTGTGAGCTTAAAGAGATCTTTTGTGTGTATGTTGGTCTCAGCTTCAGTCCAATCTGTTTTCTATCTTCCAGGGATTCCTTAACATTTCTGGGCTCCCAATGGCAAAGTTTCTTGTTTCCTAGCACTGGTTTGCATGTATTAATTTCCTGTAAGACATTTTTTTCAATGAGAGGCTTAACCTGATATCTTGAGCAAAGCCTCTACACTTATTTTCATCTTATTGTAAGAACATATCATTTATGTTGTGTTACAACCTTTATAGAACTAGGGAAGTTAAAGATAAATATATAAACATAAATAAATATTGCAGAAGTTATAAAGCTATTGCCTGTTTATTTTCACACAAATATTTACCACAAACCCTGAAACTCTGAAAGCAGCTGGCCATGTATTATTTCACAGACAGTTTGAGAACTTAATTCCCAAACCATAGGGGCTCTAGAGGCAGAAATATGGTGGCAACACCATTCCGCATCCCTCAGGCTCACAAGTGGGACAAGTTGTAAGTGCCACCTATTCATGGACCACATTGATTTGTATGATTGCTCTTTTTCTTGTGACTAAGCCACATATGTTGCTCAATAAATGAATAAAAAAAAGAACTTGTTGCCCAGCAAGAAAATGCCAGTTGTGCCATCACTGTTCTTTCCCTATTCTTATCTGGGCCAAGATGAGATTTTGGCCAGTGGCAACCTGCGGATATAATCTCAAAGTCAGCCATGTGTGTGAATTCTTCCAGCAATGTTCCAGAATATTTCCTCTACCTATCAGCATAAACAAGAGGTGATATTCACTTAGTGCTTACTATGTGTAGTTTTCTAAGTGCTTTATAAGTGTTATCTCCTTTTAATCTTATAATAACCCTCTGAAGTAGGCAATAGGGTGATCTTCAGTTTACAGAGGAGGAAACTGAAGGTCTGAGGCCTTTAGTTGCCCATATTCATATAGTTAGTGGTAGTAGAGCTAGGATTTGAACCTAGGCAGTTGTCTCCGTATCAGGTCATTTTTGGCACCCTGATTCCATCTTATCTTTAAAAATAACTTGAGACCCTTGTCGGGAGTGCCACAATTTGATTCCAGAGCCTTTTGGGACATGACAAGTAAATGCTCACCCTGATATTTTGTCAACCCGTCACATGAAGTCAAGACCCTGAGTCAGATTTGGGCCAATGCACTCGAACTCAATGTAGTGTTCCCTCCAACAAAAGTGTCTTGTGTGAAATATTATATAGATGTGGTTGTAAATTCTCATAAAAATCTGTAATAGATAGAAACAATTTCTGACGCTATTATCATTAGTAAGGGACTAGTCATTTCACCAATGCTGTATTGTCCTTCAGAAATGATATGATTACTTCTATTAATTTATGGATCACACATTTGCGCATAAACTATTTCTTAACTGTCACACACCTCATAAAATGAGCAGGACCAATTCACAAATGATGTAACAGTTCTGTCTCCTCCCTTAAACCCAACAGCCAATTTTTATGCATTCATTTTTGGCTGTGGTCATTTTTTCCAGGTTGTATTCATGGCTTTAGCTTTGTTTACAAGAAGCAAGGTATTTTATTAATGTATGGATTGATGCAGTGTTTAAAATAAAATATTCCATTTTTGGCTCCATTTTGCCATTTTTTGACCAGGTATACATATATCTATGGAAAACAATTTAGATTTTCCTTTGCTGCCTGGTGATTATTTGCTAATTGATTTTTCCTTTGCTTTTTGTATGGATCCCTTCTGCCTGGACGTTTTTAACTCCTGAGACATTTTTTCCATTTTTTTTATTTCAGGATATTATGGGGGTACAGATGTTTAGGTTACGTATGTTGCCCTTACCCCCCCCCCGCCAAGTCCGAGTTTCAAGTGCGTCCGTCCCTCGGATGGTGCACATCACACTCTTTGTGTATGCATATACCCATCCCCTTATCCCTCCTCCTTCCTCCACCCTCCCCCCTTCCCCCTGCCAAACATCCAATAGATGTTATTCTAATATGTGCACTTATGTGTTGATCAGTTAATACCAATTTTTCTATATTGATTTAAATATTTTATTTAAAGAAATATTCTGAAGGCTATTGTTTATTGATAGGAAAAATATAAAGCATACATGTCTATAGATTATTATGTACTGACATTACAGTAAATAGATTCTCCAAATAACATGATTAGTTTTGTAGTGCTACTAGTGGAATACATTCTGGAGAAACATGGTTTTACCTTCAAATCTGAGCACATTTACCCTTACATCAAAAAAGAAAAAAGGGATAATAAAAACTCAATTTTGATTAGTTTAAATTTTAGTAGACCACATCTTATTTGTTGAAGAGTAAGTTCTTTTATTTACCTCTTCAAGGAAGCGATTATTTTTTTTTTATCTCTTGCTGTGCCTCTTTATCCTCTTTGGTAACACAAGGGAGCAATAATGACAAATTACAGAACTTCAAAGCATTCTGTTTTTCCTCAATATCAATATAACACTTTGCCAAGTACCGGTAATTGGGATTAGAATAACCAGGGTATAGCTCTTCAGCCTTAAGGAAATTTTGCAAAGCTTCCTGTACAGTTGAAGATGGTATTTTTCCAAACAGAGTAGCAGCCATTTTTTTCTCGATCCAGCTCAGTTTTGATACAGTATAACAGTGTCTTCCCTTGAGGTAATACAAAAAGGATTCCTCAGGCAAAAGTTGGATTGCTTTATCTAGATGTTCTTTGAAGAGATGTCCATAGTTGACTTTGTTTTGTAAGCCCTCAAATTCAGATACATAGCCACACAAAACTGCATACCACAAATGACAGTGTCCATTCATGGGTGCTCTAGTAATAGCTCTTTCACTTAAAGTTCTTCCAATATTAGCATAATGTTTCTTTTCTTGTGTATTTGTAGATAGCTCATACATGTCTCCATAAGCACGAGCAAGCCGCCACATAAACTCTATTTCATCTCTAAATTTTTCTTTGTGGTCACAAAGTAGTTCAAAACTCTCCAACTTGCCAGATTCGTCCATACGTAAATGATCTGCCTTCTGAAGAAGGACATCTAACTTTAATTCTTCTACATGTGCGTTAAATGATTTAGAGATTGGAAAATTCCGTTCTTCTGTATCAGTATTAGCTGTAATATACCCTCCTTCACTTTCTGCTTCCTCTGAACTATTACTTGTTGTTGAACTTTGAACTGTAGGGAGCCTTCTTTTCCTAGCTCTGTGCTGAGGACTTATCTTATGAACAGTTATCTTCCCTCCAAGTTCCCCTTGTATATATTCCTCCAGCTATGGAATAGTTTCTTTAAGAAATCCAATTTCCTCTTTGAGTTCTTCCATATTCGTCAGTAATTCGTTTAACTTCTCCAGTATCTGAAGTTGCCTTTCTTGAAAGATCACTGCTGTTCCTTGGTCACTATACATTTCATCTTGCAAAGTTATCGAATCAAATGTTTTACCCAGAGAAAGAAATTTAGGTAAATTCATTGCTATCCTTGGTTTACCGACCTTGTGGTACCACAAAAGCAGCAAGCTGATTCCAGCAGTTCCTACCATGATGCCAAGTACCAGTTCTTTGTTTGTGCAGTGAGGCATTTCTTGGTTTTTGTTTCTGTGTTAGTTGTGCCAGGCTCTCTGCGGTTGGAGGCCGGGGCCTGGGATCTGCGGGGTGGGGGGAAGCGGCGGGCGGACAGTAGCCCCAGAGCCTGCGGGTCCTGAGGTCCGGCGCCGCGACCGCCTGGTCCTCACCCTGATAGCGGAGGTGCCATGGGAGGAGCTCGTTGGCCGCTCGGCCCGCGGCTCCCGCCTCCCGCCGCTGGGGGTTCAGTTCACCCCGGACGGGCGCCCCGCACACCGTTTACAAAAGAAGAAAATTGCGTGCCGCCGGGCGCCTGGCCCGCACCAGACATTGTGGCTCGGATGCCGCCTCCCCTAAAGCCCCCAATTAATACCAATTTGATGGTGAGTACATGTTTTCCCATTGTTGGTGCTTGTTTTTCCATTCTTGGGATACTTCACCTAGTAGAATGCGTTCCAGCTCTATCCAGGAGAATACAAGAGGTGCTATATCACCATTGTTTCTTAAAGCTGAATAGTACTCCATGGTATACATATACCACATTTTATTAAT